GTCCAGATGTTATTGAACGATTCCGATCGAAGAAAATGAAACCGAAAGTTACTATAAGCAATCCTAGATCATACCATAGGTAAAGAGTGTATTGAAGGAGGTATGACTCCTAGTTGGGGAGCATTATGTTGGTTATGAAGCTGGAGAAAGGAATTCTCCTACCATGTGCATCATGCGCGCTTTGAGGTTATTGCTGTCACATTCTACTCCTGCTGTAATGATGTTTACAAGATTGAGACCAATTGAATGACCTTTGAAAAGATGATTGAATTATGGTTTCCTTATAAAGTTTACCGGGGGTGGATAACTTCACAGTGGATCCATACGGAGCTGTTTGTTTGCATAAGGGGGAAGGAGAAAGCCTGCCAAAAGTGTTAGTTTTGACAGACTCTCTTGTAAAAACGCCTCTAAAAGATACGTTTTTGCAAGAAAGTCTGTCAAAACTGACACTTTTGGCAGGCTTTCAATTCATTTCCCCCTCTAAAAGAGGCAACCAAACGCGCCCTAATGTACACAAAACTCACACCATGGTTCTCCTTTTTGAAATTTAATCCAACTTGGTGCTTCAATTATAGATTTTGTTTTTCAAACATGTTGCAAATGCAGTTTAGTTCAATGAAAATGGCACTATATAGATATGCGGAATAAGGATCACCATTCCATCACTACTATTTTGAGTGTCTTTCTTGTCCTGAGATATTAAAGTTGGGAATCTTCATGGACCCATCATAAGTCCCCTCAACCTTTTAATGGTTTCAAAGAAATGTGAAGTATATGAAAAGGGTATGGCAGCTTTTTATTCCAAATTCATGGTAGTTTCCTATGACAGGGCCTCAGGGCTCCTTGGCTCTCAAAAGAGTAGAAGGAAAGCGATTTGTTCAGTAGAGTTTAATAGCATTGCTCTTAAAAAGGGTAGGAGGAAAGTGATATGTTATAGAGTTGAGTAGCATGCCCTACTTATTCAACAGGGCTACTTATTTGAGCTATGCTGAGGAGAAAAGCTGAGAGATGTGATCAACACATCCTCAGAATCTACGTGGGGATCATATTCTGTACTCTGCGATTCACTTTCAAAGTCTTCTTAGATTGAGTTTTCTTTTTGGCAAAAAAGCATTACTTCATGTGACGGAGAGCCAACTTGGGTTTTGTGTTCATGACAGGGTTTGAGCCTTTTTGAGTATTGTGACTATTGTCTGATCTTTCTTTTCTTCACTTTAAATGTCTTTTTAATATCGGTTTTTCTTTTGGTAGCATTAACTAATACATGCCATAGAGATTAGAGAGCATATGATGGAGAGCCCATTTGGTTTTTTATGTTCATTCTTCCGGTGTTTGAGCCCTTTTGAGAGTTGTAAATTTTTTTTAGTGTGTGTACGTGTGTCCATATACACACGTGATGCTACAGGGGCCCAAAAACATGGGATCCTACATGGGACAGGTGAGGTGTCGGCTCCATGTCTCATGATGCACTGTTCATGACATGGGACATGTGAGGTGTCGGCTAGGCTATGTGTCCCATGATGCACTGTTTATGAACAGTGTATCATGGGACATGGAGCCGACACCTCACTTGTCCCATGTAGGGTCACATGTTTTTGGGTCCCTAAGATATTTTTCCACACGTATAGGCACGCACATGTGCAGACACCTGCACTCATTTTACTAAAAAGAGCTATCACTAGATAGAGTGGTGATGAAACTCATTTTATTAATCATACATAACTGGTGAGCTTAAATCAGTCTTATCTTTTGATAACTCTTTTGGCTAAATTAGATGACAACTCATATTAAGTAACGTATGTGTGTGTGTAGATGTACTGGATATGAGTTTGAGTTAGTAAGAGATGATACTAACAATGTTCACGTGCTTTGATGTGATTAATTTGATGAACCTCGTCATCAGTTTATCTCTTGGTATCATGGTTCACGAAATGGAGCCACCCCAACCTTTATTTCATGGTTGTGTCTATATGTGTGTATATATGTATGTATCTGTATTTTCTTATACTTATATTTGTATATTCAATATATGCATATATATACATTGTACAACATAATTTATAGCATTTGACTACAAAAGCATGACATTTAAAATTTTTGAAAGCAGAAGTCAGAAACATGGATGTCATGTCACCTTGTACATGCATCAAGCAGTTGGAAAAGATTGTCATTCTCAAAATTAAATTGTTTGACTTGATACACCAGAATAAAATGGATGTATAGTTTATTCCCAAAAAATTCATAAGTCCTTCGTTGATTCCACCTGGGATCTCTACAGAAGCTCTCAATCAGCACTATTCACTCTCTATTGACATTTAAATATTTTATAATTTTAAATTTGCAAGTCAAATGTTTCTTCATTGACATATTATGTTGTTGCAAATAAAAAATTCTGCCCTACAAAAATAATGAAATAGTTTGACTTGATCAAAAAACAACTTAAGCTATTATGATGTTTAACCTGAGGTTTGTTGTATCTTGAAGCGTGCAAACATGATTCATGAAATCCGATTGCAGGTGCTTTTTAAGAAATAAAAAAAAATCAATTTCGACTGGGTGTAATCTGACTTCCTTTCTTTCTTTTTAAATTGTTTTGTAGAGTAATGAACTAATGATTCCTCCAACATATTTTATGGAATGATTGGTTGACAATTTAATCCTCTTGATGTTTTTTTTTTTAGCTGAAAAAGCAGGGTTAAAGGCCCTGCTCATAAAAACTATTATTAATAGGAAACAGAGATACAAAACAGATACAACAGAGCGTCACTAACTACATGTAGAGCCGGTGAGAATGCAGTAGGTAAGGAGCGGACATATGTCGTCACCTACCAAACTGTACCCCCATCGATTCTACTTAGGTAGTTGGTGCATAATACATAATTACAAAAGAGGATAAACAACAACCTACTAGAACATCAAGCATATCCAGTTTTCCAAAGTAATGGGAACCGAAACAGATTTCAAAATATTAGCAACCTGTTTGATATGAGAAGTAGCTACAGATATCCAAAATTAAGGGGAGGTGTCCTTAACCAGCAGCAGCTATGGGGATTCCTGATTTGGGTAGCTGGGTGAGAGGTTGTCCCCATCTGCCTTGACAATCTTGTTAGCAAGCTCCTGGAGTCCGATGTTTGATGCAGCCCTACGCAGTCTCCTTGCAAGCCTCTCATCTGCAGCACCTGTCCAAAATATGGTATATCTCCCAATATTAGAAGCAATGTGGAGAGGGTTAGATTGATTATCCTTGAAAATAAGATCATTTCTACTGAACCAAATCCACCAGCAAAAACAGGGTAGCAGAATCCTCTTGATGTTTGGAACACAATTTTAAGTATAGTGACAATTTAATCTATCGGATCATTTCTTTTTCCAAAATATCGACTGTTACTAGAAAAATAATTTCTTTTGCCGTGATGAACTTAATGCTATTATTGTCTTGCATTCTATGTTTTATGATATCAATTGTAATTAAATTTTGTACGGCTTTGAACTTTTCTCGTGAACTGCTGCAGTCATTATTGTTGGAAACGGCTTGAGTTTTATATTACCAAAGCAGCACACG